AGATAAAAAGTTCGTTCGGAATTAATCTCTCGAAACGCCGTAGCTCACAACGTGATTTTTTTTTAACAGTACGATACTTGCGCGCGTTGAAACGAGGAGAGAGAGAGCGAAGCCGAACGTGCGCTGTGTACGCGAGCAAGGTCTGCAGGAGCACGAGAGTTGCTGCTGCCTCGTGGCCTACTATAACAGAACTGACTCCCACCGTGGTGTTACGCTGTCTCTTTACCTGTCACAAGCAACGAACGGTTTAGTAAGACGACGACCGGTCGGTTCCTCCACTTCACAAGTTCTTCACCGTTTTAAAAGACGACACTGGGGAATCGTACCTTGAAACTAGAAAGGACACTCTTCATAGCTTAGAAAATGACGTGAAAAAGTGCGATGGGTAAAAGTTGAAATTTAAGCCACTGATTAGAAATCAAATACAACTAAAAATTAGTTATTAAAATTTTAGTATCTTTAATTTTAAAAATATTTCAATTATCAAACTCATTGTCAAAAGTATACGAACAAACATCCAATTAACAAACTCATTGACATAAATGTAAAGTAATAAATATTATATTAATATAGTCAGGATTTTATTTAGGGAAAGGCTAAATTAAAGTTAAAACTTTAGCTGAACCTAAAGGGTAGAAAAAGGGCGAGTGGATTATTGGACTTGTTTTGTTTTATATTTAATTTAGTTTTACATTTAAGTTTTATTTTTAATTAATTACTGGCAGATAAATCACAAAGTCACATATATTAATTTATTAATTAATTTTATTTTTCTCTTAAGATTATAAATTGATTCTTTGAAGAAATTTAAATTTATAATACTAGCCATTTGGAATTTTCAGCTTTTTTAAACTTTCACCTCCAATTCTTTCTCCTTTTCTAAAATTAATTTCTTGTCAACTCATTAAATAGTCCGTTTAAGCGTTTTTGGTTATTATTGTTCTTTAAGATTTGGCATGGTCCTTCCTCCCTTCCCCCTCCTCTCCTCCATTAGCTACGTCCATGGATATATTGAATTAATGTATTTATATAAATTTAAGATGTGTTTTACTACAGCTTGCAGAAAAGTAATATATCAAGAAATACTAGCACAAAGTACTTGATATAAAGTTTTAAAAAACATTAAAAAAGTTAAATATAATCTTGAAACGTATTTTTTAAAAATATAGTTTGTTTATCATTTTAAATATTATCAAGAAAACATCCTCCTTAGAGATTTCCAACCAGTTGCAATGTAATGTTTGATCAGCATTTGATAATTTTGATAGAAATAATTAAATAACAGAAATTGGGTTAAGAAATACATAATAAGCTAAATAAGTTAATAAATAATCAGGAAGCTCAAGCCTTGTATCGATTTGTAATTTATGTTTTTTTTTCATCTTGATTTCTTTTCAATGTAATTATTGGAAAGTTGATAAGATTTTAATTAGTTAATCAATATGCGTATAGGTATAACTATAAATAGATATATTATGCATAAAATCATGCACAAAACATATTCATAAAATAAGGATATGAAGTGATAATAACATTTTAGCGATTATTCATGCAAAATTTTTAAGATTTATTTTTTGTAATTGTAACATAGAAAACTTTCCATGTAATACAAAATAAACAATGTAACATGTGTACAAAACAATTCTTACGATTTATAAGCTGACATTCAATGTGTCAAGATAAGCAGTGGATAATTATGCAAAAAGCAGATAATACTTCATGTACTATAATATTATTTCACATGAGCATTAAAAAATACATTAATGAAAGTACTTCCCATCACTTGTAAAACGCTACGAATTAATTCCAACACCTAATATATATATATATATATATATATAAATATAAAATTTATTTAATAAATTATAAAAATATGAAAATTTTAATTTTTTTTTATATAACATCAAATAAAAATCTTCGAAATCTGTTATAATAAATTTTTGTCAATTTCATGTAATGATATAAATTTTTGTTATATTATATTTTGATGTTACATTTCGAATACATTCTTAAAAAAGGAAACGTTTATTAAATATGATGCAGTATAATATCATCGTAACGTCAAATATATAAAAATTATAATATTTCAAAATTAGCGAAAATATTATAATTGACGGAGAAATTGGCGATTGATAATTAAATTAAAATAGATACAGTATTTTCTATTAAATTATAAATTAATTATTATGAAAATTGTCGTTGAAGGTCACGTTAATTGTTCTTCTTAGTTAAATATATTTAGTTAAAAATACCCGGATATCATCAGTAAAAAAAGATAACGACTTGCTTAATGTTCTGCGACGTCGCCAATTGACATAATTGATCCTGCTGTGCTAGTTCAAACGTCTCAAGTAACATTCGTTGTAATAAAACCCCAAACCATATCGGCGGTGCTATCGTATGCTGAACGCGTTACAGTATATTCGACGACCTGTATATCCCCTGTGGTTGCTTAACAACAAATTTTCTCGCTTCTGTCGCAACGATGATTTCACCGTGGCCGAAAGTACTCGCCATAATTATTCGGATCGATGCGCCGACATGTTAGATCACGCTTCCTTTAATTTTTACCAAAACAATACATACGGTATGATGAAAATAAATGCATTTATCCAATGCGATTCAAACGCGTTATGCAATAATTATAAAATATATGTTGAAATATATGCCGAAAAATATGCAGTAACGTGAAAGAAAATACTTGAGAAATTTTCAAGATCGTTAAAACAGATATAATAGAAATTAAATGAAAAATGAAAAAATTGATTTACTAATTTTACATTACGAAAAAAATACATTTAATAAAAAATTCCGACTTGAACTCAGACTTACGCTTTTTTCTTTTTATTATAATACTATTGGGAATAAAAAAAAAGCAAATCTACAGCTTATCTGCATCACATTATGCTACTTACAATATACTACAGTGATGGAAAAAAAAATGTTTATGAAAAAGTACAAAAAAACTAGATAGATTGAGACAAGATTTAAAAAATTCTTAATTTTTCCTAGATATTTGTAGTAGGACGTAGAGTGAGGTTTATTTGTCTTAGAAATGTTTAGTTTTTCGTAAATATTCATAGTGGAATGTAGAGTGTCGTTGTTTGAAGGCGAAGGATTTTTTGATTTTTCAAACAACACTATTTTACGTTCCACTACAAATATCTATGAAAAATTAAGAATTTCTAAGATCTTGTCTATGTAATATTTTTCGTAAAATTTTTCCGCTAGGATACTTTATTTCTTCAGTGTTTGGATAAAAAAATCTATAAATACTAGCCAATTATATTATTGAAAGACAGTAATTACTTACTTATTTTGAGTACTAAGAGCACAAAACAAGTGACTTTAATATTTAAAATAAGTAATTAATTACTGTCTTTCAGTATTAGATTTCTGTAAAAGAACCAATTGCTAGAAACATATGAAAAAATAGATGGGAAACAATACTTAAATGTTTCTGTGATCGCTTCATTGTAGACAAGATATTTCTACAAGTTGATGTATGTTAAAAACGGTCAGCTACAGCAAATAACAAACAAACTGCTCGATTGCTAATAAGCTTTACAGCTTCCGTGCAGATACTATTCACTATTCGATGAGGTTGTGACAAATTTGCAACACATCTGCCACATCCGCCTTTCTCGAGCAAAGCTGTTTTTAATCATCGATCATAATGATTCGCGCCAATCCATCACTTTCGCTTGCCCGCGCCTTCACCGCGACGATAAGACTTTCAGTCCTTGCACGTCATTGAAAGTTCATCCGCCGTTTCGTCGAGTAATTATTTACGGTTAGCGTGAGGACGACGAAAAGTGCGTGCTGGTGCGCGAAGGTGAGAATCGGAGAAAGTCGTCGCGGAGGAAATCGTTCTAAAACAAACGACATCGACGTCAGTCATAGCGAACCCTCTTTTGTCACGCAACATATCATAGAAATGATAAGGCACGTGTGCTACTTGCGCAAAAAATATTCTATCGTTTAATGGCCGGTAATAAGTCGTAATCTCGAACAAATACTGTCTCCTGAAGAATGTCATGCTCGTGGTATAAATAATATAAATGAGACAAATGATATAAATGACAAACGTTATAAATGATAATTGGATTTCTTTTTATCAGTAAAAATGTTCAATTATCTGACGTAATGTAAGACAAACTCAAAGAAACCGTAAAATATTAACAAAATGCGATGCGTACAAATCAAGACGACGAAATTCCATTTAACCTGAGAAAAGGAGCTTGTTATAATTTGCCCACATCCGTCACGTGTTACGAGGAATTTCACCTCGCCTGGCTACAAAGCCCTCTCATGCGGATGTGAAAACAAGTTTATTCAAACGATTATTGCCCAATGAGAAAGGAATATTATTCGAAAGCGGTATGGAGTCTGTAATCGATTCGATTTCCGTGGCGTATAGTCTACTTTCTTTTGCAATACAAGTTCAAGGTCGTTTTTAATAAAACTCAAGGAATTATTACGTTTATTTCATGCATGCGTATAATTCTCTTTATATTATGAAAAATATGTTTTATTAAATTTCAATCGATAGCGAGAAAGATGGAATGGGATAGGCAGAGAAGTAATGACCATTATATCTTCGCGTTATATAGAATTTTATTTTTTATGCCTTATATCGTATTATTATATAAAGATTGGAAATCTATGTTTATACGAAACATCGCTTGTATCAGCTCAACACTCATATGTAACATGTTATATTTTATCATAAGTACAATTTATAGTACTGTTCAATAATTACAGAAATAATTAAACCTATTTGCTATTAAATTATGATATATTTTATATATTTTAGTATATTACAAAGTTTACAGTAATGTCTACTATGAAGGAAACGAATATATAGAATTATCTATAAACATTACATTAGACAAAAAATAAAATCTTTTAGAGATTTCAATGAATCAATACATATTTTTACATAAATAACATTTATAGTACATTTATATTTATAATACATTTCAAATGTTGAGACGTAATCACTTGTTAAAATTGAGATATCTATTCTCATCGAAGTTATCCTCCAATTCTTCGACTATAACTATTTTACTTTTCGGCTTACGCATTTCGAGTCTCTGCTTCTGTTCGGCCTCTGTAAGTTCCGCGAGATTCAGCGGTAGAACTATTATCTTCCGCGGCTCATGATACTCGATCTCTATACTACTCCCGTCAGAAAAAACGAGTGTTGTAGGATACGTCCGTTCGTATATTGGTCTGTGCTTCTTCGTTATCGCCGCCGTCCAGCAATTAAAACTTCTATGCAAGACAGTCGCAGAGTTGCCAATTCGTGCGAGCGAAGTGATCATTCTGAAATAAGGAAGTATTCCTGTAGCTTACAAGGTTATTAATATTATCCAAAATATAAATTCATTTTACATTTTGCATGATAACAAGGCGACTCAGATCAAACTCTGATTAACTTATTTATTGATTTTATCTTTTAATCTTATATGGAGAGCTGACAGTCGATCTAGTGGATTCAATTATATTCAATTATATTCTTTATGTTACATTTGCAAATTTGAATTACTATTATTAAAATAATCTTAGTATTCAATTTTTTTTACGAATGTCATTTTAATTTTTTGAAATTAATTAATGCCTTTTAATAAACATATATTAAATAGATCTTATAAAGTTAGTGTCAATAATTGTTACAGATTTTGACGTTACTCCTTCAGAGGGTTCGTCCAAATCATTCACAAGTATAATTTGATTACAAAATAACAATTCTAAAATAATATTGGAGATAACTATTATAAGTTACAATTTCAAAAAGCAGTCTTGTCAAATACAATCTTTTCTTTATTTATCATACGATGATTAAAAAAATATATTTTATTATGGTGAATTTGATTACTCGTACTATATCGAATTAGTGCATTAAAGGTTATTTTATAAAATATCTGAATGCAATGGCATAATAAATAAAATGATAAACGTATGTCATGTATGACAATGAATTATACATGTATATTCTTGTTAAATAACAAGATAACAATATCAATATAACAATATTATTAGATTTTTAACCATTTAAACTGTTCATATGCATTTACTTTCTTTACTAATTTAATATACAGCAGCATTTAATGTACACTAATATAGTGTATATAGTAATATAGTATACACTATAGTATAGTATACACTAATATAGTAATACAAGTAATTGAATTCACTATTAAATACTTCACATTACACAATTTATTATCCCTATCAACACTAACTTAAAAATAATACAACATTAATGTTATAACTTATTAACTTCACATTTAACGATGTAACTATTATGTACAATATATATTATATTACATTTCTATTGTCGAATGTAAAATTATAACATTGATCTATTATTTTATACCTTTTATTATCAATGTAAATTAATTTTGATTTAATTTATTTTTTATCTTCTTTTTAATTCTAAGAACTATACCCGTTTCTACCAATACAATGTGGATTAACTTTAATCTCGATTCAATTTGCTCTCATCTTTTTTTTTGAATTGTTACAACTAGAAAAAGATAAAGAGTTAGTTGAACAAAGATTAAAATTAAACTAATTGAATTAGAAAGGGATAAAGAGTAAATTAAACTGAGATTAAAGTTGATCTAAATTGATAAAAATAGATATATTAATTAGTGTTTACAGACATTTTTTATAGGTTATGTCATCCATGCTTGGCAATATTGAGCATAGTGACACGTTATTTATTTGATCATTCAAAGTTATCTCACACTCATTAAACACTGTGTTTACATTCATAAAACAACGAGAAAACCTCATGGAGAAAACCTCCCGATGAAACAAAGCTTACCTGCCGAGACTATCGACGAGATGAGCGACTTAATGCAACGACTTGAAGCTCTGCGCAGTTGAACCATCGGGACGGTCACGTGGCGTTCAGGCGCGGCGAATGAATGGCGACGATTGCGCGCGCTGCCGTACAATCGAATTGCGATTATCGAAATATGTTTAAAATGAGCGGTAATCGACGCTACCGATCCCGGCAGTCTACGCGTTTCTTTCGGTGCGGTGTACACACACGGGTGGTGGGTGCTTTTTGCGTGCGATTCGTCCTGAGAGGAGGCTCGATCGGTAGAGTTTGGCAATCGTGCGTCTCCACAAGACGGTGAAGGAGGTGCCACGACTGCCGGGAGAGACTGCGGAAGATTTAATTTGATTGGGTAAGTCAATCCTCTTCGACCTTGGTTCCGATCGAAGAGCGGGAGGACGTGAATAGCTATCCACGTCCTCCTCCCGCGAGACGCAAATGGGATATCGTGCGTGTGCCGTACGACGAAGAGAAGAGGGTGCGTTGCGACGAGTATTACTCTTAAGCGTTCTGACAAGGGGACGATGATTTTGCGATGTGATAAGCGACTTTTCGTATTTTCATGCGCTGTACGCGCCCTCGGGCTCCTCCTGGCAATGGCCGGTCAGCTCGGCATAGTCCGCGCGATTCCTGCAAGGAAAGGAATTGCGACACATTTTTTTAAGCACATTGAGAATGGTGAGCGGCGATCACGGAGATTCGTGATCTTCCGGCACGCTCGGGAAGAGGGGTGGGGGAGAGCACAAATCTTCCAAATATCATTAAAACAAAGTGTATTAAGCTGATTAGTAGAATTAGTCGAGTTAATGAACTGGAAGTCGACTATGATCTCAGGGCTTTTAACTAGGGACCCTTTGATCAGAGACTGCTTTCCTCTTAGAAAATACAATTGACAGATATCGTTCTATTCTTCTTCGATGTTATGTATCAAAGAAGCAATAATAATCCAATTCCTTGAATAATAATATATTGTTAGTTTTAACTTCCACACGTGTCAAAATTAATCAATTTCTGTAGTTAGTTTCAAAGTAACCAACATCTATATTAACGTACGCACTTAGTAAATAATAAACTAAATTATTAATAAATTATATGTAATAAATTTGAGTCAAATTTAATACACAATACATTTTTTTGAGTTAAGGCTATCACACGTAAAAGTTTTAAGATATCGCCAATCAATCGAGCATTCTAAAATGGTAAGACCGTACTTTTGGCTGTGATAGGTAGATTTGTTCACTTTATAGTTACGACAAGTTTTTTTTACGTTTTATGATGGAAGAAAATAGGTGAAACAATTTAGATATGCAGTAGTCGATTTGATTACAATCAATCAGAATTTGTCATAAGAATTCAAAAAGCAATAGGATAAAATTAAATTGGACAGAATTGAATCTAGGACAGAATTTGATTTACGTTTGTTAGATTCAAATTGTTTAACTTCATTGTATTAATTAAATTAACAATATATTTAATAAGAGCAGTGGCAAGCTATAAAAATGTTTATAAATAATTCAAATTATATAAGTATAATTGGACATTATGAATTTATCAGTGTTGGTATTCATCGAATAACACATTGAATAATGGATAAGATAATATTTGTGTCGACTATCTCTTAAAGGAAAACAATTATAGTCTGGCCATGAGATAGCATACGTATGATTGGTCTAACATTTTTTTGTCAAATCACATTAGTCAGCGCGAGATAGCACATTTCTTTTTTTTCTCTCGCATCATTGCAGAATGAGATAAAATATATCAGTCGATTTTTTATCAAAAATGTTAAAATGTCTCTTGTCATGGCCAGATTTTGATTAGAAGGTCTTTATTTTTAACTAGTGTACCGCAAAAGATCTCCAAGTATGTTTCTGCGAAAATTTTAAAAAATGTAAAAAGAAGCAAAAAAAGCGAATGCGGTGATAAGTAAAAAGTATTTTAAAAATTGTGAAAACTATCTAAATTATATCATTTATTCTCATTTTAGTCAACGCCAATCGCGCGTTCTTATCAACTTTTAATATAATAAAATAAAAATAAAACATTGGAACTTCACTTTTTATTTCTGCATGTTATTTTGACAGTATCTGATAAAAAGATATATGCTAAGCGTTAAAGCGAACTGAAAAAAATTGAAAAACCTTAAAAATTACAAAAGTAAGCAAAACTCCCTAGATGCGCTGATCAATAAAATTATAAATTATCTAGTGAATTTGTCCACTTTTATAATTTTCATATCATTTCAAAATACATAATTCATTCCCTAGATTAATCCGGGAATCAAAATGGCCAATTCTTGGCAGTAAAAAGGGAGAGAGTTCCGGATGGGCACTGGCAACTTCATTTTTATTTTATCGTTACAGATCGTTTAAAAGATATGTACAAGAAACTTCATCTGCATATACATATTCATAATCATCCGACATGAATAGTTATTACCTCGATTATTACACATTCAAATAAAATAGCGTTATCTGAAAAGAATTTTAATCCCTCTCTGTTCCTCAAAAATCCCTCGCATTAATTTCGCGATTAAGCTCCTGTCGTGAAACTTTTCAATCGATTCATTTATTTATCTTGGGGATAACAAACGTTACATAAAAAAATAACGGGGCTTATATTTACCGATGGAATCTTTTAGATGTTATTGTTATGCATTCGAAACGAGAAAATGAAGATATCCCAAGCAGCATCATGTACAAAATCGGGATATAACGTCATTAAGTCGTTTTTTATAATTGTCACGACTATGTCTTGTACACAAATAAACAAACTATTTTATAATTATTGCAATATATAAAATAGTTTATTTAATAGTATATTCACTTATGTATATTAATTTATTCAACTATATACATTAATTTTACATATAAAACTTGTATAGTTATCATCTTCACAGTTGCAACCTCTGTATTTTTCTCTGAGCATAAACATTATAACACAAAAGTTTTAAAAAACTTTAAGATGTTCCGATTGTGGACATGTGCTGTCTGAGATAGATGTTTATTTATTCCCGGATTAATGAAAATAAAATCACACAATTTCACACATTCGACACGGAATGGCACGCACAAAATCGTATTTGGCACCCAAATCTATTCGGACGATTATTCTCCCAAGTTATAGCTATAAAATCGCCGCATTTTTTTTACCACCGTGCAATTTACAAAACTTATAACAATTAAATCTTTTTAATGCATAATACAACAATAATAATAATAAACGCGTACATGCCTCATGCGAATGATCAACCCTTTTTACATTTATCGTACGGCAATCAAATAAAATATAACGTTATATTATACTGGAGATGTAGTATAACGTGTCAATATCACATTAGTATTTAAAATATCATCTGTAATTATCTTGGGTGGGGATTTAGTTTGATGCGTAATAAACAAATGGGACCGTGTGAAAATAATGAAACTTCGTATCGAGATAAATATTGGCTCCATGAAATATTATTTTTATTATAACAACGTCAATAATAATTATTTATTATAACGTCAATATAATTCTGATTCTTTAACTAAAAATTTAACTACATTAAAAAAATCTTCCAACATCCATATATTATTTTCTTTTTAAATATATTTTATTTTATATTCAATGTAAATACGATTCTTTATTTTATATAATTTATTTGATAAATATTATAAAAAATACGTCATTTATTTGTACAAAATTTCCCGTAAGATTGCACCATTCACCTCTTATTTTTATTTCGATACTGTTTCAAAATTCAATGATCGAATTATTTTTTATATTAATAGATAATAATTTTTACTATCTTGTTAATTTAAATTCCTTTAATAAAAAATCATATTTAAAATAATATTTAGAAAAAATATAAATATTTTCTGTCATAACTATGATATTAATTCATATATGTTTCGACTTAAAATTAAATAAAATTTATTAATAAAAATTATAAAAGTAAAAATTATTTATATTGCAGATACACGCAATATACAAACCTTTTACTTATATAATTTTTTAAAAACATATTTTTTATGAAATATTTTCACAAATATTAATATTGAAAAGAAAAAAGAATATATAAAAATTTGCTTATCTTTTGATATCGCGCATGCTGATATATTCATTTTGTACGCATTTTAAACTTTATATTCTATTCATTACATCCTATGTATATAATAATGATAAATGAGAAAATTCGTGCAAAGATTTATATGAATATATAAAACATCTATATAAAATATGAAATTATATAAAATATGAATCAGGAAAAGATTTTAAGGAAGGGAAATTAAGTCCTCGTCGAAGAGTCGTTATATTCTGCCATTCAGGTCAATCATCTTCTCATCGTTATGTCTGTAAAATCAAAGTCTTGCTCTACGTCATATCTACAATTACATAACTCACTAAATAAGTAAGACGAAATGGCATACATATATATGCGATTAAAGAAATTCAATCATAAATGGGTATTCTATTCTCGAATTAATGTTTAACATATTATCTCTCATTGTGTATAATATTTATACAACTAAATGTAATTAGAATAATACGAATAATGAAGTATCGAAGTCCGCTGTTATATTAATAGTTAAAATCATGCAATTAATAATGCTTATTATTATAAAAATATTACAATACAAAAAAAGATTAGTCAACATCTCCACTTTCTACATGCATGAATCTTAATAACATAATCTTATAAACATAATTATTAAATCTTATACAAAAGCTTAATTCGCAAAGTATTATTTTTATTTTATTATTAGTATAGGTTCAAGATTTCTAAAAAAGTTATTTGATAAAAAAGATTGGATGCAAAGCGTAAGCAATATTAAAACATGCATGTATACATACCTGTACAAAACATAGTGCTGAATTAAGAAAAATACATCAAATGCCACAGAAAAGAATCCAAGACCGAATTTGGTTGGGTCTCCAAAAATACTCTCCCAATCATCTGAGATAAAAATTTATGACGTTAATATCTTATAAACATTAGTTTACGCTTTCTATATACAAGACGAAAGTAAGTCTAATTGTATATTCGTATGTTTACCATAGTTATAAGCGTTGAGTATCATCTGTAGCATTGATAAAATGCCACCCGTAAAATCTAAAAATACATTTCCTATACTCCAGCCGACAGTGGATTTTCTCCTATAATTGTAAAATGCTTGCGGTACGTATTTAATAAGCGTTACGCTAAGCTTAACATAGCTACAGTAGTAGAGAAAATCTAGCCATTGGATTGTCTTCACGGAAGATAATATCAAAGATATTAATATAAAAGTCGCAAATATCCCATGGATAATACGTGCAGTCGTTGATACTCTTTGATTACCAGTCTGAAGTAAAAATAAATACGATTAAATTTTAATTTCTACAAAGCTACTTTAAGAGGATCCTAAAGAGTCGTCTATATTACCAACTAAATCACATAATTTTTGTATAACAAATATTTTTTTCTCGTGTAATACGTATCTGATGAGGTGAAGTTTATGCCAAGAACGATCAAAAATTTCGAAATTGTTTTTATTAATTTTTATTAATTATATTTTTGATCATTTCTTAACATGGCGTCTCAAGCTGTCAAGTCATGACAACATTTGCTTGATACGGAAGTTTTGCATCTGTACTTACGAAATAGTAATGCACAGATACAATAGTAGTTTGCACGAATAAATAACGTCGAGTTCTTAGACTTAGACGCTTTATCGCGATGAATTTATTATACGAAAATTGAGACACGAATGTGCAACTGCGTGTATATGTAGATTGCGAGAGATACTGGTGTGGTAGTATATAAAGATATGTCGCTCTCTCTCTCTCTCTCTCTGGTAAAATAGCGATCTCTGACTTCAGGCTTCACTTTAGGATCCTCTTAAATATATGTTGTCTTTATGTTTAGTTACCTCATAAATAAAACATTGTCCGATGACTATTATACTAGCAAATACTGCATGTAATGAAAAAAATATATCATTGATTTGTACAGGATTCAAGCCTTTTGGATATCGTTCGAAATATTCTTTCTGAAAATATTTTAATAAATTAATTGATCGTCATAATACGCGCATTTTTATTTCACATTCTTACTACAAATTATTTATTTATAAAAATATCTCAATGGTAACGCTCTCTCTCTCTCTCTTTTATTTTATTGCAAGATGTAGAAACAAATGGCAATGTCTTACCTCGATCTCAGGTATCCAGTACAGGCCGCAATTGAACAGTGCGTACATAAGAAAACCGACAAGATTTAGTGATACGTAATCAAAATTAAGACCCACAACACTTTTACGTTTATAATTAATATAGATTTGTGGATAGAAGCTTACGCTCCATGCTAAAAAATATATCCATCCAACCACAGCACTGATGTGATATAATGTATCTGATTTCTCTATTGTTACTCTAACAAACGCTTGGGAGAAACTAAAAAGAGATATACAAGTTATTTTTTTTTGCATACACTGTTAAAATATTATCTTAAAAAATATGTTAAATAAAAGTAACAGAAATAGAATTTGCTCACTTTAAATCGATATTATGTAACTGATCTCGCGGTATAATAATAATTTTATACATAGACATTTTTCTACAGTTTTTTTTTAATAATTGCAAATTTCAAGGTAAATTTATTTCACACTTTCTGAAAACTGATTTTAAAAAATACCAATAAGTTTAAATAATAAATATAATAGCATTGATTCTCCGGTAGCAAAATTTGCAAATATTTCACTGATATATATATATTTAACTTTCACTTATCAGTATTATAAAAATATTAAATTAAAAATTATTTTAAAATAAATTATTAAAAAAATTATATATAAAATTATTTAGACACGGCAATTATTAAACACTGCAATTGAAGGAAATAATTTGTTCAACATCTGGAGACAGACTAACGAAACTTTAAAGTTTACAGCTTAGTTGACAAGTTTAGATCAAGAGGCTATCTGGGCAATCTTAGCATTGCAATGGAACGTGAATTTTACACTGATCTTTTGAATCTTTTCAGAATTAGTCACAAATATAGGAAGGGAACGAAAGCATCAGTGCCATAGGTCTCTGTACTCCGCTGTTTATTGTTTCACAATACTTGATTATGAAAGTTTATATGAAATGATAAATATACGTTCGTAATCAAATGTTATTTAAAATATCAACAGCCAATTAGAACGTTTAATCAAAATGTAAAAAAAAAAATTCCTATACTTACTCAATGATATCACTAGGGGTTACATTAGCGCTAACAATCAAATGACCTGCGCTCAGGCCTTTAACATAAATAATCCATTCTGTTTTTGAGTCTCTCGGTATAATAGAAAAGTTTGATGGATTTGTAGATAGCAGATCAGGATGCTGTACATCTATCGTAACGTTTGCAGTTTTGCTATCAGGTTCTAACGGTTCCCTGCAAAGTAAGATGTGGTTAATAAAAAAATCTCATTTTTAGTATATACGCATGGTTGCAATTCTGAAACATACTGACATGAGCTTATCATTCAAACCATTCAAGCTATCATTGATTTATCATTCTATAATTGAATGATAAAGTATAAAGTCCGAAAACAATATTATATTTTAACGTTCATTAGATGTCTGTTGTTATCAGTTTTAGAGCATAAAAACACAAAATGAATTCTGTCGCTATGGCATGCTTAGATTAACTAATATAAGCTTAATGTGGGTCAAGGTGATAGAATAAAATATTAGTTTTAAAGAACTTTTTATCATGCATATATACAACAAAGGTTTCTACTAATGTACTTAATTTATCTCACAGACATAAATAACAACTATGTTATTGAGTGTTTTCCAGCAAGAAACAGAAAACAGTGTAAGGTCCCAAACTAATGAAAAACACAAGCAATAGAAACAAGACAATAAATTTTCTTTAGCACAGGTCATTCTAGTAATATTGCAACAACACTACAAATGTTACAGCAATATTGCTGCAAGATTCTGTGCTGTGTATGGATTTCGACCTATCAGAAATTGCGTATCAATACAGCATTTTCTGTAAGTTAAAATCTGTCTATGTGTAATTCCCTGTTGCTATCGTCTGTGTTTTTTATTGTGGTTGGACTTTAATAGAATGAATTATTACATCCTTGTTGTTTGATAACAATATTAAACAAAGATGAAATAATTTATGAGTTGCTGTCATTTGTATCTCTTGCTGGAAAATATCTTATATCAGCACTGTCAACATATACATGTCCCTAAAAGCAATACAACAGTTCATATTACAACTTCCAATAGTCAATAAAATCTATAAGTACTGGACGATATGCAATCTAATGTAATAGCTCAAGTTAGTGACTAACAGCTACTAACAAGCTACTCACGTCAGTGATAAGTTGAACGAGCTCTGTTGATTGAGTTGTACTTTTAAATCCTGCGTTGATGTTCTAAGGTCTCCCTGAACGCGTGTCAAAACTGCAAATATGAACGACATGTAATCTATAGTAACGAAAATGAGAATTCCCACTAAACACAAACTAATAATAACATTACATCAATTATTATAATTTCCTACTTAATTATATGAATCGTATTCCAAAATTTACTACCAGTACTGAAAATCTGAAGTGCAAGTATAGATTTTTTAGCACTGGCAGTGATTTTATATATAATATAAAACATGTGGTATATAAATATAACACATGTTGTATATAACAATTACACGACTGTGTATTTATTCGACTTCATATTTATATTTATATGAGCAGAAAATTATAATATTGTCATGTAATGTTAAATATTTATATTAATGAATGGAAAACTATAAAATTATAAATTATATGATTCTACATATTTATATTAATGAAAGATTATAATATTATGATGTAATGTTTTATTACATCATAATATTATAATTACTTTCTTTGTGTTTAGCGGGTTGTATATATTTTTCTGTGCTTCTTTCTTGATCTCACCTGGTAATAACAAGAAGACCCATAAATATCGCAACAAAGCCATATTGCACGATAACTGAAACAAGGTAATGTGCCACGTTTAAGTATTCGCTCCTCAATGAGGTAGCAGTTAATGCAGTTATCGTTGCAAGAACGCCATTGTCATCGCGCTCTTTCGCGTCGTCCAGTGTGTCCGAGGAGTTAGGGCTCTCGCCGATGGAACGAACGCGACAAGCATGTGAAGAACGGCGGGTTTAACCTCAAAATGCGCGAGGTCATCACGGCAATTCGTGTTTTATGATAACACTTTACACGCTGTGACATTTCGTTGCCACTTGTCAACAATCTCGATGATTGGTAGATATCTCTCGGAGCTTCGTAGATATCTCAGATTTTTGCGGCTATCAGAGCGTCGAACGATAACGACGACGTCGACGACGAGTGCCGTTCGTTATCGTAGATATCATGATTGTTGTAAGAATACCAGAACGATGATAATGAACGCGAATGCGACCGTTTTGCACCGTCACAATCTCGATAAGTTCTCGCAGTTAAAAATAGTTAAAAAAAGCGACAAGAAGTAACGGAACGCGACGTCAACAATGAGCACGTGACCCACGACACACTACCGCGCCACAACTGCCACTTGCCAGCTGGAGTGACATTTGGCGGCAAGATTTGCATTCTCGCAGGGATGACTGATACGCAATCATTTGGGTTTAATCCACATTGAGAAAAGACACATATTGGGTTATCTAAAAAGTATCCGCGGTTTTTTGTCATTAGATATATGACCATCAACGCCATCTAGTGACAAAAAACCGCGGATACTTTTTAGATGACCCAATATATCCACATAAGTGTTTTTGTGAGAAATAATGGAGAGAATGGTTGAAAAAAGACAGAAGCAAAATATATAATATATGTATGTATGTATATATAATTATGTAATTATAGCTTTAAAAAATTAAAAATAAGGTTATTGCTTAAAGAAATAATTGTTTAATCTAAATGCAAATATAGTAAATCTTTGTATACTTACTATATATTTACTGTATATTTAGTATAAAAACTTAATGTAGCAAAATATTATTTTTTTAAATTTAATAAAAAGGAATTATTAAGAGAAGGCCCGATTGCATCAACGTTATTTTGATTTTAAACAAGGCTTAAAACTCTCTTTGTCTCTGTCTCTTTTTCGGCTTTAAAACGAGAGAGTTTTAAGTCTCGCTTAAAGTCAAAGTAACATTGGTGCAACCGGGCCTAAATAATGAGAATATACATCCGAGAATATACAAAAAAATACAAATTTATATCTTTGTAGGACAATATAATGTCCAATTTTTTTGTAATCGATTATAATTTCTCATTGTTCTTAGCTTTCTAGAGAAATGAGTCGCAATTTGTATAAAATATTAAAAGTAACGTTAGTTTTCTATCGTAACTATCAGACGGCGTTGTGCAAATCCTTATAAATAATTAATAAAACAATAGAAATTTTATACGCTCTAATGAATTAAATCAATTAGGAATAAACAAACCTTTGAGAGCCAATCCTGGATGTGATTGCAATAAGTGTTATTGTGTATAATAATTAAGTAAGAACATTTCGATTCTTGATTTGGATTCTTTTCAGCAAATATATAAATAAATAACTAAAATATATACAAAGGTTGTCGTTAATTACACTTAGAAAATTAGATTGTGTTATTTTCAAAATATTGTTCGTCTTAATATGAACTGTGGATAAAGTTTATTTGTATTCATATGTCAAAATTGTTCATTAAATTTCCAAGATAATGAGTAGATAGTTTACTAGATAATGAGTTACGTCCAAGATATAAATATTTAATAAATAAAATTGAAATTAGATTGATGATATTTTATTAAAAATTTATATGGATGTTTAAAGATTGACATATTATGCGATGTTGACAACGCGCTTGTTATGGATCTACTGAGAACGTTTGTCATACAATAACACAAATAGACCTTCAATAAAACTATGAAAGAGACGGAAACATCAATTTTTAGAAATTAAAATAGCATATGTTTATTCTGTGTCATTTTGTACATTAAGGCCATTTTTCTGTTTGTATGTAAATCATTTTTGCTGTTAGTCGTTTGTTTAACAACCTATCTTTATTCAAAATTTTAATATTCTCCCAATCGAAATCATGTGCAAATTTCAATCTATGTGCCATATTGATCGAGATTGTTGTGTCGTTTTCCTATTAATACGGTTCCTATGTTCCTGAATAAATAAGTAATAATAATCCGGATAAAAAATGTATATATGATATCGTTCTTTTCTTAAATGATAATGGATTTATCCTATCTCATTTTGAGAATCTTAATAAATTTTATTTTTATTTTTATTTTTATTTTTATTTTTATTTTTATTTTACTATTGCTCTACTTTAAATTCTTCTGTTCCTTTAATGCTATATTATTATTCTAAAATTTCGAATAATCTTTTATTTTTATCATTGTAAAGTGCGTGACGCTCTCTCAACTACTTGCATTGAAAATAGCAAAGAACTTTATTCAAAGAGAAATTTTCACAGCGCTGACAATATAAAGTCCATATTTACTCATTATTTTCTTAAAAGCAAGAGAAGCATTTCTATGCAAGACTCCTTGACAGAGAATTTCCAATCATAAAAAATTTCCTTTTTTTCATTTAAGTGCAAGTGTGCGTTCCATCGAAAGTATTATCTCTATTACCCTTGCTAAAATCTAATATTGGTCGATTTAATACTAACCAATTTATTACTGCAAAACAGTAATTAATTGCTTATTTAAAGTACTAGAAGTACTGAACACAGCAGTATTTTTAATATTTAAAATAAGTAATTAATTATTGTCTTTCAATATTGGCCAGTATTAGATTTCTGTAAATAATTGTAAGAGAATGCAATGTGTTTAAACAAAAAAATATTGAAACTTTTAGTGAAATTTTTTAGCATCTGAAGAAAACTTTTTGTAAGAACCATTCGAATAATTGTTTCAAGCGTGTAAAAACATGACTTTTGTATTGCGTGCAAAAAAAATTTCATTATGGAAAGAACGATTTTGCTGAAATATTTTATCTAAAAATTTTTTTTTAGCCAGATACAGTTCTGAAAATAATTTTGTTGGACTATAAAAATAATTATGTAAAATTTCAAGCATGATGAGCAATTCTACAAAAAGTTTTGATATTCTAGTAATTATAGTATTCTGCAAAATTATTTTAATAATCCAACAAAGTTATTATTAGATTTGTATCTTACTAAATTTTTAGATACTTCAGCAAAATTATTCTCTCCATGTATAATTCATCTAATGATATGTAGATGAAGAAAGAAAATTTAACTAATTTTAACAATCGATCCTAATTAACATTAACGCGATTAATTAAACGCCCAAGGGTCATTTCACTGATAGATTTGATCATTTAAATGTTTCCCATCCCTTTCGCTGTAGATCAAAGAACGAAAATTCGGTCGAATTTCGTGTGCTAGCGTCAATTCAGACGATTTCACTATTTCCCTTCAACAGTTCCATTCGCTTTTTTTTTCCTGTTTTCGCACTTACAATTAGTGCTTAGTCGATGATAAACTTAACACATGTTTTAGTGGGTCAAATCTCGGTAAAGTTCCATCGAGATTACGAAAAGGCCAGCTGTATTTCAAAGAACAGGAAAAAAAAGATAGGAGTATGATAAAGATTGCGCGAGAGAAGAGAAAAGAGAGAAGAAGAGAGAATAATATGTCGAACTCCCTCGATACCGAGTGACGAAGACAAACGAGATTCACTTTGACGTACCACAGGAAATTCGTATGATAGAAGTGATGAAAAGAAAGATGGATTTTAGCGAAAGAGACAACAGGATTTGACGCTAATACTAAAATAAGCCGGATTACATGGAAATCAATAAATCGAGTAATTCTCTTTACAACGTAATCTAATCGAGAGAATGTTTTTTTTATCGGAATGCTCACATTCGGCATATTTCCGATATCTCGCTCTCGTGTAACTTTTTTTTTACTCACTACATTTTTATTCGTAAAATCGTATTTTATATTAACATTGTCATGTTTCTACTTTATTACATGTAGCAAGAGTAAATATGCTTTCATGAAATTTTTGTATGTGTACGTATTGATTCGTTATGTGAAATATATTTTCTACTGTGGACCACACGACTGAAAGAACTTGAAAAATGCTATGTTCTAGAACATACCGACGAGAGGAAGAGGGAGAGAGGGGGGGGAGGGGGAGAGAGAGAGAGAGAGAGAAAACAGGGTAGAATTTTTATTTTTGATATCTAACTCTGTGAATCCATTTGAGCCGAGATATGTGCACGTAATGCGCAAAAAAGAAATAAAAAAAAACGTAACTTCACGTCGTAAAAGATCCTAATTAGAGCCGAATTAAAGGGACAGTATTTCATAAAAATAAAGCAGAAACGCATGGAGGCATGGGGAATAAAAATATAACTGCTCATTTATTTCGCATTTAGGTAAATTCATTTAATAGCAATTATTATACTGTGAATTTAATTAAGCACGAAAATAACAATTTTTTGCCTCGCAAGTATTGGGAAGTACTTTTTACTTTTTTTTTGTTAATAATGTTACTTCCGCATACGTACTGTTGCGTGTTATTCCTTAATTTATATTGCGATACCGCGAACGCGTGCGATTTGCACGCATTAAAATCTAGGCGGTTGAGTATAATAACAATTATCATAAATTAAATATTAAATATCGAATGAGGCTATTGGATCGACTTAATGCCTGTTTCATGCTAATTTCTTATCGTAGTCAATTACTTAATCGCTCGTATTCCAATATGGGTTAACGTTCACTGCTGATTAGAAAGTATAATTTAATGCGACTTATTAATATTTCGGAGACACAACATTATGCTGATGGGATCGTGTTCTGCTTCTGGAATTCCACAGATTTTAGGAGACATATCATTATCTTATGCCTCAACAGATAAATGATACACGTCGTACTCTTTAAATTTCTTGAAAATGAAATTCAAAAAATGAAGTGATTACCGAATCGCTCAAATTGGAATGACTTTTCATGTGTATATGGAGTAAATTTTTCTATGTTGTGGAGTGAATATTTTTATTCGTAAAATTAAGGCATGAATTTGACATATTCTACATCACTATAATCTAAAATAATTAAAAATAAAATAAATAATTAATTATGCAAGAAGTTTAATAAACGAATCACATATTGATCGTCGTGTCGACATTATGTTTTGTCGACATTATATGTATAGAAATAACAACAACATTTCTAAAAATAAAATGCTATTAGGTGTTGGAATTAATTCGTAGCGTTTTACAAGTGATGGGAAGTACTTTCATTAATGTATTTTTTAATGCTCATGTGAAATAAATAACATTCTTTCATTAAAAAACGCTACGAATTAATTCCAACACCTAATAATAAGAATCTATCGTTTATTGAGTTTAACAACAATATTTTATAGGTTAAAACTCTTAGAATACGTTCCGTTTCACACACGATGCATCATTTATCCTTGTTTAACATTTGGTAAACAACAAGGATAAATGATGTGCATCATGCGTGAAACCACGTGAAACGGAACGCATCTCTATAGGTCTCACACTGAAGTCATCTTGACTGATATTTCATTCCAAGCGAATAACACATTCACTATGATTGGGGTTAAACATTCACTCTTATGAAAAATGAAATGTCATTCCATCCTGAGTGGCAGCATTTCCACTATCGATTGGAGTGAATTTTTATTCTTTTTGAGTGAGATTTTATTCTGAAAAATTAACACGATACAAATAAATTATAGTTAAGTAATAAATAAGATCGATTGAAATGAATTTTCAATCGTTTTGAGGAAGATTCATTC